ATGTGCAGGGCAATGCGTTTCGCCTTTGAATATTATAAATGAATGTAAAATGAACTTAACTGACGATGTACATAATTGTTTCACAACTTGTACTGCTTCAAACTCAACTAATGACTGCATACAATGTACTAAACAATGTGATGGATGGTATTACCAATGTATGATGATAGCTGCTGTTGGTCACACTCAAAAAGAATTACTTTCTGCTAATAGTAGTACCAATGTAAAAGTAACAGCTATAAACAACAATATCACCGGGAATGCTTCTTCTGAATCTTTTATTGGTTCTTTGCAAAATATTTCTTCATCCAACAACACATTAGTAGAAACAGAATCAGTGTTATATTCCAACTGCTCCCTTTCATGCCAGGGACAATATCATGCATGTGTTGAAGAATTATTGATAAGTAATAATAGCTGTTCTTCAGAAAATTGTACAGACAGCGTTTGTGATAACCAGACTTCTAATACAAACTGTTCCTCTGGGACAAGTAACTGTAGTTCTTCTCTAAATCACACCTCAACATGTGGACAGAATTTTGTTGAATGTGAATCAGCTTGCTTCGTCACTACTGTAGAAATAATTTCTGAGTGCATTTCTACTTGCCAGAATCAAAATAGGTCATGCCTTAATTACTGTAATAGGTGCGAAACAGATTGCCAATTTTGTGTGCAGCAGTGTAACTCAGACTTATTTAATTGCACAGCATTACAACATTTACTGGATGGGCCAGATGAACCTGCTTCTACACCTCCATCATGCAACTTGTATACCTCATGTGTGAATGATTACTGGAGTGATACCTACCTCCCTTGCTTTGCAAGCTGTCCATTAGATTCAGAAATATGTAAGGACTCTTGTGGAAGCAATTTGGAAAACAACCAAGTGTTTTGTCTCCAACAATACATCTCTCCCACGTGCACCTTAGCTGATTGCCCCAAACTAAGTTTGTGTGGTGCCGATAGACGAAAACGTGACATACATTTTGCAGAGAGTGATTCTTCCAAGATCTATAGTCCTACACTATTACCTTACAAGATAAAACAAGGAATGTCAGATCTCCAGATGACTACATGTATGAATCTGGTAGCACAAAACAAGAGAAAGACACCTCTGACAAGATATGTTTCAGAACCCATCAACATAAGTTTGAGAGATTGGCTTCTGTCAACTAGACTTATGCGCCCTTCAACTTTAAAATCTGGAGTTGCACTGTCTAAGACATCGACTTATCCAGAGTCATTGGGAAACATGAAACTTTATGTTGATTTCCTCAGTAAGTATGGCCCAAAAGGAGAGAATACATTAACCAATATCCTACAGTGGTTCACTAAGGAGAAGAAATCCCATAATGCGTTTCCAACCCTTGATTTGTATCTCGCATATTTAGATGAGCTTACTGTTGAATTGAAAAAAGGCAGTGCTTCCCACTTTCGTTCAATTCAAGTCATGGTTGTTATCAATGGGATCTGGGTCAACAGTATTCCCACACAACTCTCAACCGAACAGTGATTTCATAAGAAGACGTAAATTGATCAACATGAATATACCTGCAGACATTAAAGATTGGCTTGTCAACAATCAGAATATCACTTTTTCTGACAGCAGTAGTTTCAAAGATTTTATAAGCAGTGAGAATTTTCAAGGCATTGCTAGTAGATTAGAATATCATGTACAAGATGTCATAAAGCACTACGTAATGCGACGGAGTGTAGATAATACAACTTCAAGTAATTTGACACTATCAGATAATGGTACCATTACTTTCAACTATACTGGCAATATCACAAATCATATAAATACTGCCAATGAGTATGCTAATGTGTTTTGCATTAACAATGCTCTGTACACGCAATATGTCTCCTGCTATTCAAACTGCTCAGAGTTTATGAAAATATGTGAAATGAGCTGTCTGAATATGTCATGCCATTGGAATATGACCGTGTCTGGGAAAAATTGCACTACTAATAAATCAGAGTGTATCCTTGGATGCTTTTCAAATTGTACTGAGATCTGTAATGACTACAGACCACTTAGCCACGTGAAGTGCTACGACGATTGCAACTCAACTGTTGCTTTCTGTGCAGAGATCTGTGGAAATTGTACTAAGATAAATAGCTGCAGCAACGAATGCAATATCACCTGCAACACTCTATACAACAGTACCGCGATTAATGAGACTTTGTGCTTTCATAACTGTGATGTAAATGTTTGAGAACTGTTCTTCACTTTGTGGTGGATCGATATGTTCAGACAATACAACATGTGACTGTGACTGTAGCAATACCACTTTACCAGCACTCCAGCTTGTCTCAAATTGCAGTGAATATAACATGACAAATGGAACTGACACATGTCGTAATTATTCATCATCCATATCAGAAGAATACTGTTATTGCAGCTGTAAGTGTATCAACGATTCTACTGGTGATTTGGAAGAGAACTGGGAAGTTAAGCTGTTCACACACTGGAGAGGTATGACAAACTTTTGTTACTTGTTAACCATATGCATATTTACGAAAGTATACATTCAATCACAATCATCTAATATAGCATTTACAAATACTAAACATAACATGGTCGAATTAAAGCAACAATATCCGACATTACAATAGGCTATTGACAAGTGATTCATGAAGTCATTTAGCAGTGAATGTTTGAACATCAGCACAAAGAATGGATCATTGTACTGTTTTGGATTATATGCAGATCATATCACAAACCGCTTGGTACTTTATTTGCCTGGACATATTTATATTTTCCCTAATCAAAATGAATTTATAGCTAAACAAAAATTCCACTCCTGTTCAACTCATCTAAAGAAATTAATGGTAGCAAGAACAGGAAGTTGATTAGTAGTGGTGTTGTGTGTAGAGTACATTAATGCTTTTACAATTCGGTATGTGTCTTGCATGCTTCCAGTTTATCTACTCTGTAACCAATGGATGTCTCAACGTTTACTATGTGTTTAATATTCATCTCACAGCTTTGGATTCTAATGTTGGCAACCTATTAGGTCTTGACATATCAGCTAACATGTTATATGGGTTATCTCACAATGGATTGGCAGTCATGAGAAGTGAAGACTATGGCGACAACTGGGTGTCAATACCCACTGAATACTGGACGGCAGCAACGAACACTGATACATATGTTAGTGCTGTGTCTCTGAAAGATGAAGCCTTGCTACTCCAAAATCCAAGTTTTAATTTAACTTTCACATCCAACAAATGGAATTCAACATGGGGAGGTACGTCTTTTCAATTTACAAATGCTACTCTTTGGTGTTGATCTCAAAATATAAATAATTATATTCTGTTGATACATTTTTGTTTTTAATGTTGTGAATGATAGTGTTGCCTTTGTGGTCTGTAACATACCAGTACAAACAAAATAATTAATTTAAAAGCGCTACAGTTGTCATTCCGCACTGTGTTTGATATGGGTCCCATAATTATGTATACATGTAAACCACACAACTGTAGCACAATTATTTTAATAATACCAATGACATCTAGTCAATATTATTCAGTTTCAGGAATTGGGATCCATATAATTAAAGATTACACAACCAATTGGGAAGTAGTCGGAACATGGAAATGTTGTGGAGATGTGTCACCTTAGGTAACTGTCATTGATTTTCTGCATTGTTAGTTTGTATAGTTAAATTGCATTATCATTGAAAACAAATTTTAAGATGACATTTGAAATAAAGTTTCAGGTTTCTGTAATATTGTAGTCTGTTATTTAGTTTTTTTTTTATATTTAAGGAGTAACCACACGATTTTGACCAGCTTCACAACATATACACATGAACTTAATTTTAAAGGCCATTCTCAGACACAGAAATAATCATAAAAAACATGTTCAAGTTTCAGCATCTGAAACTTAATACTTGCAACTATGGTTAAATGAATAAGTTCTGGAATTTGCATATACTCCGAGCGGTGGCTCACATTCGGATCCATATTTCAGCTTATAAGGTTTAATTATGTAGCTTCTAGAGATAGTGTTGATATATTTCTGACCTTTGTTTTGAACAGATGTTCTGTTACGATTTCAGGGTTATTCAAAATTGGTCACTAAATTTAATAGACTATGACAGTTCAATGGGTTTATACTATATTTTATTTTTAAGCTATACATGTTCTATTTGTTAAAAGAATTACAAATAGCATAGCAAGTATAGTTTAGTATTGCAAGAATAATGCAAATATGCATGAAAGCAATATGACGGATGTTGATGCCATCCATCCTTGAGCTGCCTTCACACCTGCTTTGCGATATCCTATTTTCACTGCCTGATATAATGGTTACAAATACAGGACACAATAATCTTAGTGTATATTCTAGTATAGGTAAACTAGCTTTCAAAGATATTTATATATGGTATAACATACACAATGCAAATATTGTATTCACAAAAGCAGCTTCACACTAGATGAACAGGTAGCACTGGCTATATGTATATCTTGACTAAAGAAAATATCACGCAAACCAACATAAAATAATTCAAAAGAATACAAATAGAAGTATGAATTGAAGCATTCCAGATATTATCATTAAACGTTTCCGAAAATTCACACGTTGTAATTTGTTACACATTGTAATTGGAAATGTACTATTTAAAAGTCATTAATATCACTGTATGATATTTACACCTTATAATATTGTACGCAAAATTGTTGTGAACTGGTAGTGACTGCATGCATAATCCTAAATCAATTAAATCAGGGCCGTTTAATTGAGATCAGTAATAGAGCAAGTTTTTAAGAAGGAAAACAATATAATAATACACATATGATATTGTATTAATTTCATAAAAGATGTGTTACATTTACCCTAGCATTGTGAAAAAGTGGTATGTTATAGAACTGGGGGCTACTGTGTCTAGTGGGGATCTGTAAATGATAAAACTATTGAATTGTTTACCATTTTCGTCTCAGTACTTGGTTAAACTAATTATTATGTTATTTGAGTTCGATATCATAAGTCATATTTAACGTATTTCAAAATGTATTATAAATTCAGGATAAGCAAATGTATCGTCGTACACCACAAATATTGTGGGATTGGCAGGATCATCCACTGTTGAGTCGTATTTCGTCTGAGTTCTTGTATCTTTCACTGGTGGTGCTTTCATATTCAAGTTTCCACGGGCATACTCCCCGACTAGTACACGTACCAAGTACATTATTAGCCTTGTATCATTACTATCCTTCTGTGAATATGGTATTGAATACTCAGAATCTTTGGCAAAATACGATCCTTGGCCAAATCTAGCACCAACTAGGGGGAGAAACTCATAGTTAGTCGGATATAAAACTGTTTTCAGTGAAAAAAAAGACTTCATTCGATAATAAATATAATTTCCCAAGCTTCAATTACAGTGTTAACAGAAAATATACAAAAATAGGGTTGAATATAAATAAGTGTCAACGAACTTGGGTTCTATGGTTATTTTTTTAAATGACATTTTTAAAGTGTATCCAGTATATGATTATGTAAGCTGTGTCGATTGTGGTTTACTCATTATAATTTCTTCATTTATTGATTGAATTTGAATAGTTCTTAACTAACATTTTAACCAACTTTTTAAAATTTGCCATAACGTTTAGACAATGAGTTTTATTTGCATTATTATTTAGTTTTATGTTACTTTCTTTTTGAGTAAATCCTTTCCTGTCAATGACATACTGGAATATTCGCAATGACTTACGTTCTTTCTGATTTAATTCCCTGCCTGAATTTCGACCAGCATTTTTAAATAATTTATAAAAATCATATATACCGGGAAATTCAAAATATACAATGTAGTACAGTACATATATCTTCATTTGTCGTTATTAAACTGTTTCACTACCACGAGGGGAAGTTACCGTGCGTTATAATTGCGATATAATTAACACAAATGCGCACAGCAACTATACATTAGATATACACTTTTGCGTTAATGTTTGTAACCTTTTTTTATTAGAACAACATTTTTGTTATGAAACTTGCTACATAATATGATTGACACACAGGTTTAATTTTCCGGCATATTGGGTCTATTTTATTGATTTTGACAGTATAACATACAAACAAATTAAAGCTTGGGCCATCTATAATTGATACATACGTAATGATATTACATGTATGTGAAATACCGTTTTCAGAAAAACACATTTACATTACCGTTTGTTGCCTGATAACTCCGGTTAAAGTTCTCTCTGTTAATATATGTAACGTTATCAGCATGCGTGCCATGAAATAACCGTTTCTCATACTCACTGAGGAAAGATTAAATATTTTACTTCATATTACAAATCAACATTTACAATTGAATATGCTTATATTTATGTAACCGTACACAGCGTGTTGTTATTGGGGGCGCGCAATCTACATGGACAGGTATTACATCTGGAGTGCCACAGGGCTCCTTTTTAGGACCAGTACTATTTATTATGTATGTGAGCAATCTCCCTACGTAAGTTCATCATATTGCTTAACCTATGCTGATAATACAAAACTTTATAAATCTATCATAAATGTTACAGACTGTTTCACCCTCCATAATGATTTAAATAGGCTCCATGATTGGTGTAAGGCTTGGTTTCTCAAGCTAAATCCCCAGAAGTGTAACGTTATCTCGTTCACTAAGAAACGCTCGACTCTCTATCACAATTATAAGATAGATGGTTTGTCTATTGAACGTGTCGATCAAGTTAAAGACCTTGGTGTCACATTGATGGATAACCTTAGTTGGTCCGCTCATGTTGGCACTATTGTGACAAAAGCATACAAAAATACAAAATGATAGGTCTAATAAAGCGCACATGTAGACAATTTACCAGTATTACATGTCTACGCAGTTTGTATATTTCGTTAATTAGAAGTCGTCTTGAATATTGTACTCAAATCAGGTCACCACATCAAAAATACCTAGTTGGTAAAGTTCAGCGGGTCCAACAAAAGTTTGTCAAACACTTATGTTCTCGCCGATTTGGATAATCGCAGTATTCTGAATGATGCCTACATTTTAATTTATTGTCACTTGAGAATCGTAGAAATTTCCTTGACTCCGTCTTTTTGCATAAATGTCTTAATAATATTTTTGCTTCTCCCTACACTATTCCCAGCATTCCTTTTCATGCTCCATCCAGAAATATCCGCTCCGTATATCCCTTCAAATTACCTCTTTATCACAGTAATCTCAGAAAATATTCTTTTATCCCATGTTGTCTTGACTTTTTAAATTGTATTTATATTGCTGGTTCAGTAGACATTTTTACGAGTCTATCTTCTTTTAAGAAATCTGTTTTAAATGCCATAAGTTGAGCTTTAGGTCTTCCTTTTTATTTTAAATTATTTTTGTATTTGTATTTTATGAGTGCCTGTAATTGGGGAAACCTGTTGGTGTTTCAATAAATAAATAACATAAAATAAAATAAACATTAAACAGAATGTAGCGTCTCCTGTCATTCATATTATAAAATGATATCACCCCGGTTACCTACTACCACAGTAAAACGAATGGTATCATTAATTGAAGACGAACAATTAGGTTTTCAAAAAACGATATCAGGACTGAACACAATGGTTACAAAATAGCTAAAATAACTTAAATAACTAAATAATATATAATTGAGCGTATATATTCTGGTGAAAATGTTGGCTGTGGTCAGAAATTAGTAAATAAATAAATTTGTCAGAGCGTACTGAGTTTCGCATTTTCAATTAATTCATAGCTTATTATAACAATAATTTGAAAATAAGAATATAGTGGTAATTGGACAAAATTTTCACATTTCATTTATCCAAATAACTGGAAGATTTTGAAAATGTAAGGGTTGATATATGAACAGACTACCGAAATAACAAACTGTACCGGTTTGGATACCGATCTTCAAATTTCCGTCTTGATGTCATATACTGCCTGTATCTCCAGGGGTTTTGAACTCTTTGAATCTTTATAACCTTGCACCTCGTTCTAAAACTGCCAAGTGTATCAAAGAACAATTTGTACGCTTCCTGATACTCGTCTGATGTGTTGTTTATATCCTCAACAATGACATCATCATTCCTTACTTCTTTCCAATAAGGTGGAAGATCGAGCTCTGTAAATATTAATTAAAAATTATATGAATTAATGCAATGAATCCGAATATGAATGATTTTACTAGGTTCTGCCCTACTTGTCTCACTAGCAATAAGCAAGCTGGTGTAAGAGATATTGCTCTGGTTCAAAGGGAATCAAATCAGAAGCTCTGTCACTAGTCACACCTGTATTTCTACTGGTGATTTAGGATCAACATTGTTGGTTCGGAGCTCCGAGCAGATTACCTGCCTACTAGATGTGCTTTTGTAGTCTGCCCAAGAGTTTCAATCGATATCTTATTGTCAGTTGGATGTAAGGAAAGTATGGCATAACTAGTAAAATTACAAAATTCACCTAGGTGATAATGTGACATTTCACATTGTGAAGCCATGCTTGCTTTGCCACGCACACCTCGTATCATTTTATCTTCTGCAATGACAAATTTAGAACTAGTTCTAGTTCTTGTTACTATGATCGAGTATGACAAAACATCTTACTAAGTGTGGGGTGTGAGGTAAGTATGCTGACTCTATATATCACCTCAGCGAGTTTAATTTTGTTTACATACCTGTTTGTGACCTTCGTACTAATTGCAATTTACGAGTACCAAAAATGGCAAATTTGTTCTTGTACGAAACACAGGCATTTTGTCCGAGTAGCTCGCATTTCAGCTTATTCTTTTTCGTTCCTGCATGCTTCTCCAGTGCAAAGTTGTCCATTTTATCAAAAGCGATGTATTTTTCACCTGGTTCGTCAATATAGTACCTAAATAATTACCAGAAAATGTCATTTCTTTATTCAATGTATTTATAGGTTAGAGAAAACATGTTAAAATGCCGAAAATATTAAGGGTGCTGAATGAATTCTATTGCAGTTGTCTAGGGAAATACAACAATTGTAGTTAGATGTTGATTTATAAATTGAGCATTAAGGACGTTATTGAGAAAAGGAAGTAACGTACGAGCATCTGTCTGCCTTCATTGAAATTAAACTTAGTACACAACTACAACTAAAAAAACCTAACATATTTGGATTTCGATAAAAATTTATATATACTAATCAGAATATTTTAATAATTAGTTTTAGCTTGTTTTTTGTGCATCTTGTAATAGTACTTATTGTGTGTGTAGATGAGTGTCTGATGGTATTTGTAATTATAAACATATAAGCTTATTTGCTACTGATTGTTGTCAGCTTTATTCTGTATCAATATTTAGCTCAAATTGATTATATATAGTATCTGTGCAGTTATAGGTTGTTTTTTTCCTTTCAATTATTTAATATTATTTTACCATTTTCTCAAATATGTGTATCTTAGTTTCATGAAATGGATCGACATCTTGAAATGTGCTGTCACTGTATTATGTTAAAGCAAAATATGTTCATGGCATTGTAATAAGAAGTTAGTTAATTCAAATAATTTGCATAATTATAATTAACTAACACACATAAGCTATTTTAGTTTGTGTCTGGTAAGACATTGGATTTTGAAAATATATCTATATTAAATGAATCAGAAGCAGGAGTGTAATATAAAGTGGGGACAAAATAATGTTGTAATAAGTCATCCATAATATAATAACTTACCATTGTACTTTTTCAGCCATCGCAGATGCCTTTTCGCGTTTGCGCCTTTGCTTTATTCTTTTTGTTATCTTATTAAACACACTTGTAAAATCTTCAAAAAGTTCATCTTTAACGTCATCCCCGGTTATGCTTATTGTTGATTTTTCTACATCTGTGGTAACACGAATATTACATGTATACAGTTTGTTTATCTAAGAAATATAGTAAGCAAGTCAATGTCAATGAAATAGTCTTATGTGTATTTGGGTGAATGTGAGAGCAGAATGTTAAAACGTTTGACCACATCAACGAAACAAACTATGGTTTTCTTGTTAAATTAAAATCGAAATGAGTGAAACTGAATATGAAAAGTCGCATACAAATCAAATTGTGCAACAAAATAACGTTCACCAGTTACCGCTAATATTAATATTTTTGCGACAAAAATATTACCAGCCAGTCAAAAAAGCGATTAAAAATGAAACCAAATCCACGTGCATATTCTTATCATTATTATCTATGTACTAACCTTACAGCAGCATCGGTCCAGGCAAGTTTGAGAAATTGTCCCAATAAACCATGGCCGTTTTTTTATCAATTGAAACTCACGCCCAAAATGTGTAAACTTTTATTTTATCTACCCCAGTAAAGGTGATTAAAAACATCCCCTACAGCCTTAGAGCACATCGAAACACATTTTATATGAATTGTGAACTGACGTTTGGATGTATGCATATGGTGGTAATTCGTCATGCAAGGTCTTGACACCTACCCGGATGGAAAACTTCTGTTTTCTCGTGTTTGTGAATCTAATGAATACCAGAATCACATCAAAGTGGAAATAACATATCCAACCATAGATCGATCCTTAATCAAGAGTTGTATAGCAAAATGTACTCGTCCAAGAACACAGCACAAAAGACTGACCACAATTGACAAAATAACACACAAACAAAACAACTGACAAGTACACTACACTATATCAGTCAAATCAGTAAGAGAAAAATATATGGACTTCCTGTACTTGTTTCATCAAAAACCGATGATGGTTCTTGAGATATCAGTGAAACAGACGGACACTGAAGTGGACATGTACTCACCAACAGTTATCGTAATGTCACATTTCGATGCTGTTTCTTCCAGTTCAATGATATCCTCTTTCTTCAATTTACCTATCAACTCGTTGTTGAATTCTTTGTCATGGGACTTAAAGTTTCTGATAGCATCTTGTATTTCATCTTTCACTGTGTCAATAACGTTTTGCTCTCCAGCAAATATCTTTATTTCAAATAGAGCTCGATGTGTAACAATGTATTTGCCAAGAATTGAAACCAATGTATCTGAAGCAAAATAATCAATTGCCTCGCACAATCTCTGGGGTATACGTTATTTGTATATGCCGTTATTCCTGGCAACATACTACAATCTATAATAATTTCAGAAGGCGCGCTATGGTTGAGTACCGCAACAAAAGTAGTGTAATTGATAACAATGTGATTGCATAAATGTAGTTAATCATTTAACTATTATAAATAAAAGTTGATGAATTACTTAATTTCAATCGTTTAGGTATTTCATTAAATACATATGTTGGTACTGTTGAAATTAGGTAATTCATTCTAAACATTTTTTTAACATAATAATCAATGAGATAGCACACTATCTGAATATTATTCAATATACATGTCGTATACAATCGTGCGGCAGCTGTAATACTCAGTTAAACAGATCTTAATAATTGAAAATTAACGTATCTGATTTTGTGGTGAGTAATATAAATAAGATTTGTAACACATACAAATACAAGTCAGAACGTGACAGATACAAACTGGGTCAGTTGCGGGTATTTTGTAATGAATGAATGAAGGTATGAAAAATCATGGCACGAATGTTCATGTATATGCATGACATGATGTCAAATGTATGTGTAAAGTTTGAACATGGTAGGGACAACATGTCCAAAATATTGACCCAGAACTGCGTCTTTTTTGAACTAGATACGCAAAAATAAAACGACGTGCATCAATCTCAAACTGTATGTCAATGTATGTTCCAAGTTTATATGCAATCTATCCACACACGACTGAGGTCTACTTCCGAAATGCATTTTTGACATTTAAATGGCTGCCATTCGGCCATTTTTAGTCCGATATACTGTCTGATGTATCTGTCAAATTTCAACTTAATCGATACACGTCGACGCACGGACGGACTCATGAACGCACGCATACAATCCACAAATCCCCATGTCCGGACTACATCCAAACAGGAAATAAAAAAACATAAATTTCAGTTATTATCATACCTTTTAATTTAGAAGTATCCTCAAAATAATCATCAAAATCGTCCTCAGCAGATACAACCGATGATCCAGGAAATGTGGACGTTGCGAATACACCAGTCAACGCTGTATGTTTTTCTTGAAGAGCATTTAAAAACGGTTGTAGATGTGACGGTGTTACCGGCCAAATAACGATTTTTATTGATCTAAGGCATGTAGGTGAGCTTCGTACTGCATACTCCACAATACCGTCTAGCATACCACGTGCAACACCAATTACATTGCGTTTAGCCGAACCTAGTTTAAAAAAAACAGTGCATACGTGTAGTTATAAATATTGAATACACACAACTGCCACAAATTACACTATATATATTGAAGGTGCTTTCCACATACCCGTTCCTATTGCAGGTAATGCTATGGATGTCATACCGTCGGTTTCCGCCAGGGTAAGGCATTTCAAAACACTATCCTTCATTTGATCATTTGTTGGAATCTTTGTGTGATAAATGCGCTTAAATTGCAGGGTGCCTGGTCCTGAAAGGGGACGTTACGGAATTAATTCAGCATTTTTTTTTGAAAATATTTTTTTTTTAAATTAACTAATTAGTAAATTATAATACGCAAATGATTGAGAATTGAACAATAAATATGTGTAGATTTCAGCTTCTGTTATGTAACATCATATCGCATTTTGGATTCTACACTAGCATCTACTAATATTTATCATACCGTTGCTCGCATTTAGACAATACTTTACGTTATTGCTGTTACTATCATAATATATACTTTGTGTGTCGTCTGCGTGATCCAATCTAGAGAAAGGCACGCATCCTTGTTCAGGGTCACGACATTCAAAAATAATAAATCAGCCGGTAATCCAGTCGGGTATTAAACACATGATGATGACACAGTATAGGAATTGTCATAATTCAGTTGCATAATACATTTGAAGTTGATTTTACGTGCATAGAAACGATTCATCCAATATGTCGACGTGAGTCGTTTATGATTGTTATAATACGTCTAAAGCAATTACACTACAACCTAACATCACACATTATGAAAATAATCTCAATACTATGAGGTTATTACGAGGAT